AAGAACACTTAATAAACCATAAGAAACCGTAAGTCAGATTGCATATTAGTACTTTTCATTAATAGACATATATTAATGTAATAAGCCTTTGACCCAAGACTATGAATACAAAGTCTGTATATATATCAATCAACTGGAAAAAGACACAAAAGAAGAAACAAAAATTACTACAAAGGCTATGCACATTTATGGGAGAGATGCCATAGAGTGGGAAAGACACCTGGTTCAGAAGATGATCCACCTAGAGACGTTCTTTTATCTTTATCCTAGTTCCAGATGAAGGATATATTAAAAGCAAAGAAGACAACTGTATTCTCAGAACCATACCACGGAATTATAATTTTACCGGACTTATCTTTTACAAGAATCAATAGATGTTCATTTGCAACAATAACAGAAATACTCAGAAAAAAAACAACATTAGATATTAGTAGAGGAACCCAGTAAAGATAATTCTCACATATGATTCTAAATCATACTCATTTGACATTCCCGAAAAAATAAGAATATGGGCATTAGATAACAAAATAATAGATCCTATATAATGGACTGATGAATGTGTTTGTTTGTTTTTTTTCCTCTTGTCTTGATCTTATTTATAAATTGTAAATACAAAAAAAGAGGTGGAAGAAAAGAAAGGAATGATAGATATCTATACACTGTAATGGGAATTGATATTTTTTAAAATATTTAGACACACACAACAATATGAGAATCTATAAGAATGTGGGGTTATAAGTAATTATGATTCACACTAAAGAATTGGCTGTATTTCACTGAATAAGACACACAATAGAAATAGAAGTGAATGCTATATGAAAAGTAGTTACACAAAAGTTATATATAAATAACACAAGGAAAGTGAGAAAAATGTAGATAAAGGAAAAAGAAAAGGAAGGTACGTTTTTTTTCTTCACAAAGTTATAATTGGAATTAATACACTAATGATAATTAAATTTCACGTAATTTCACTGAAGAAAGAAGGAATGTATTAGAATGAAGGAAAATATATATATGAAATGGATAACACATTTAGGTGGAAAGAAAGAAAGAATACATTTATAAAAGAGAGAAAATAGGAACCCATTCAGAATTCAAATATTTGGTAAAATTTAACTTTGTAATGGTTGAAGGTCTATTTTTTCCATTAAGCCACTTATCATTTTTAAAGGTAGACAAGGTAAAACTTTGTCTTTTATTTATGCTAGGCTTTTTTTTAAATGTATACCATTTTGCCAGAATATGGTTTAAAACTATGTTCCCTTCTATTATGTTTGAAGATTTCAAAAAATCTGTGATTTCCAGAATTGGGTCATCAAGTCTTGAGGTTTAAAATCTTTCATCTCTGAATATATACGTAAACTTGGGGAGCATATATGCCTTCACTGTGTTTTTTTTCCCCCAACATCTCTATTCATCTCTATTAGATACCAACTCTCAGATGAAGCTCTATTTATTTGTGATATCACCGCATGTGCTAATAAAGCCGTGTCTGCATATTGTTGAATAATTGGTATTCCCAGTCCTCCTATATGTTTTAGTTTTTTTTAGCATGTAGTTGTAAATTTAGCCATGGAGTTGGAATTTTTAAAGGAACCATTCTGAATATATACTAAATATGATCCAGACTGACTTTTCTAGATTTTATATTGGCTGGTAAGAAACCCAGATTAAAGAGAAATACAATAAAATCTTTCTTTGCACTCCAAACAGAATTTAATCTTGGTATTCAAAAAATATTTAAATATCTCAGAATGAAAGGTTTTCTAAATGATAAATTGTATCAATTTATCAATGATAGTTCTTAAATAGTCAAAATTTTTAACAAAATGTTTAAACATTTAATAACAAAATGTCTTGAAATTATTAAAATATGTGAAAAATATGTCCCAATTCCTCCAGCAGCACTTGCGGCTTTTTTTTTTTTAAAGGGGCCCGGTCGCGGCCACAGCGCTGACCGGGCCACTGAAGATATAGGGCCCATCGGGTGGCCCTAAGTGTGTGGCCAGGGCCGCCGGACCTGTGACAACCGTTATGGTTATCATCCCCTGATGGCGGCCCTGGCCACCAGCCTCTGCCAGCAGCCACAAGCACACAAACAGCCAGCAGCAAACCAACAGCCACTAGCAAGCAGCACGCCAAACCAGTCAGGCTCCTGCAGAGAAAAGATAACCTAACAGGAGGGTGGCTGAAAATAAAAACATTATGACCTGTGTATGTGTCCAGGTTTCCTTGTGTCACTGTGACTATCTGAGTGTGTGTCAGTGTGTGTACCTGTGTATCTGTGTGTGTACCTGTGTGTCAGAGAGTGTAACTGAGTGTGTGTATCTGTGTGTCAATGTGTACATTGTGCCAGTGTGTATCTGCGTGTCAGTGTATCTGTCAGTGTTTGCATCTAAGTTTTATGTAAGTGCCAGTGTGTGTATCTCGTAGTGTGTGTATCTGAGTGTGTATGTGCCAGGGCTGTCTTTAAGATTGAATGGACCATGGGCAAGCATTTGCTTGGGCCCCCTGCCCCTACTCACTGGCATGCAATCATGCCATCCACTGCAACTTAGTGGCAGAACTAAACTAGAAAAGGCCCTGGTGCAAGGCTTCTTTTGGATCCTGCTATCACAAGGATGGCTAAAAGGTAGATCCCCATCTGTCATAAAACTCCAACAATGCTTTGCTAGCTGTGGCTCTACAATTGTCCTATGCTTGCAAGGTTGTGTTTAGCAATGAGCAGTGTTTGTGTGCTTGAATGTAAGTATGTTTAAGTTATGGAGTATGTTTGTGTAAATGTAGACTAGTGTTTGTATGTGGTGTTGGCGTTTGAATGCAAGCATCCATTTATGAGTATGCAGAGGTATGTTTATATATACTGACACACAGACATACTGAAAAATAGACAGACATACTGACACACACACAGATACACTGATAGACATACTGACACACACAGACAGGCATTGTATAACACACATACATACACACAGACAGACATACACACACAGACGTATTGAAACACACATACAAACAGACATACACACAGACAGACACACTGACACACACACAGACCTACACACTGACACACATGCTCAGACACACTGGCACACACACTCAGACACACATGCAAAATTTACAATTTGATTGCTACCCTTGAGTGTCTTACCTTTGCTGGAGGGTGGCTTCCCTGGGGTCCAGTATGCTGGCTGGGGTGACTGGGACTTAAGCTCTGGCTCTCTCCCAGCCTGGCCCCCTCCTCACGGATTCATTCGGGTGCTCCTCCCTCCCATGCTGCCGAAAAGCAAGCGGCCCCTGCTGAAACATGCCCCCTGGGTGACCCTAAGTGCATGGGCCACCCGATGCGCCCCCTTTGTGTGCAGGCCCACTGCCCGCAACAATTTATTTTAGGATCGGCGATCCCAAAAGAAATTGTTGACGGCAGAGGCCAAATGGGGCAGCTGCTTTGGGCCTGCCAGAAATATCAGGGCCTGGGGCAGCTGCTCTGTTTACTCTGCGTTAAAGACGGCCCTGGCCAGTGTGTGTATCTTTGTGTCAGTGTGTATCTTTGTGCGTATATGCCAGTCTATGTCTCAGTGTATCTGTCATTGTGTGTATCTGAGTGTGTATTTGCCAGTGTGTGTGTGTGTGTGTATCTGTGTCAGTATGTGCATGTGTCAGTGTGGTTGAGTGTGTGTGTGTATCTTAATGTAAGTGTGTGTATCTGTGTCTGTGTGTTTCTGTGTGCGTGTATGTGCCAGTGTGTATATCTATGTGCCAGTGTGTGTGTATCTGGCAGTGTGTGTATCTAAAAGGTTGTGAATGTGTGTGTATCTTTGTACTGGTGTGTGTATCTGCGTGTGTGTGTTTATCTGTGTGTCAGTAAGAGTATCTGTGTATATGTGTCAGTGTGTATCTGTGTATGTGTCAGTGTGTGAATCTGTGTATCTGAGTGTGTGTGTGTGTCAGTGTGTGTATGACTGTGTATATGTGTCAGTGTGTTTCTATGTGTGTTTCTGTTTGTCAATGTCTATGTATATCTGTGTACGTGTGTAAGTGCAGACATCCTAGCAATCAAACAACAATACAACATGCAAATACACCACTGTAAACACTAGCATGACCTACAAAGACACCTCTGAACTCCAACTCTGAAATGATATACAAACACACCCTTCACTCAAACACCAAGACTACAGACAAATGTATATCTGCATTTAAAATCCAACACTACATCCAAACACAACACTGCATGTACAAACATGTACAAACATCACCTCTACACACAGAAGCACACCTGCTCCTAAGTGCTACAATCTGTTTACTATATGTAGAAATTTGCCAAAAAAGAAAACATAAGGCTCTGTTCATTAAAAGTTTTGTGCTACGACCACATGGGATGTAGAATATATGATAAGGCCTCCATGAAGGAACACTATAGGGTCAGGAACACAAACAAATTGTCACGGTTCTCGCCACAGCAAACAGACAGCCAGACGTGGTCACCCATGGAGTTCCCAACATGGGACTTGAACCGGGGAACTTTGCAGTCCCGGTCCTGCTTCCTTCCTCTGAGCCACAGCAGCTTTTGTATTTCTATGTCATTCTGGTCCTGTTCATCCTGGCATGTCTATTTCTCTGGGGGCTGTACCTTGACTTTGACTGTGCTTCACCTGACCCTGATCAGACATTAGCAGGGTATTTAAACTCAGCCTCGCCCTGTGATCAGCATCAAGTCTTTGATCCTGTTGTGTGCTTTGTACAAGTGTTCCTGTGGTTTGAGCTGCTACTTGTTATTGACCCCGGCTTCTGACTACGTTTACTCTGACCTCTGGCATCCCTTGACTTCGGCTACTCCTCGTTCCTGTCTTCATTAAGCTGTAGTTGTTCTGGTGACTGTAGTGTCCCTTTAAACTTCAGTTTTGGATTGTGTATACCACTTGCCTGGGCCCTGTCAGTATCACTGACTCCCCAAGGGCGTATTTTTTTATGGGTCTTGTGACTCTGACTTACAATGTAAAGTATGATGAGTAAGATTTTCTGTTATGCTGCTGGCAGGGCATCTGCGTTTGAGCGTTGCTTTCACGGGGCAATATCGCTCAGCGGTAACGACATGCCCTCCCCCATATAGTTTTAATTTACTTATACCACCAATACCCTTGTAGGTTTTTTCTTTTCTAAAGTCTTGTATATTCCATTTATTTTAATGCTACATTTTAAATACAACCCTTGATGTAAAGTAGTGATATTTCCAAACTATCCTTTAGCTTTCATCTCCAAAAATACTTCCATTGTTCATTACACAAATACTACTTTTAAATCAATACTTTTATAAATCTCACAATCATAGAATACATTTATCCAGTTAAGATGTCATTTGTTTTCACCCTTTGCTTTTTAATCAAACAACCTTATGTCCTCAATTATTGTATATTAAAAGTTGAAGTGTCATTTCAGGTAAGCAGGAATAGAAAATTATTCACACCACAGATCTCGTTTACCTTGCTCTGGCTTTTACAGGATTATGATTTTTAGATATGGATTTTTTTTCTCAGAAATTTGCTTTTCTTTACTCATTGAAGAATAATTTAGCTAATGCTTTGCACTCACGTTTATTCAGAATGACTTGTCCTAATATGCTGCTTCTCTCTAGTAGAAATTATGTTGCCTTTGTTACCGTACACTTTGTTTTTCAGTCATAGTATCTCATTGGTCTTTTATGACCTTTTCTTTGATTAATATCTAAATGTCATGATCTTGAAATGCAGCCCAGGCTTATTAAGCAGAGTGATTATTTTGTAGCAAACTTACAAAAAGAATATTCTAATTAAAATGAGACTTAACACACCTTTGTGCTACAGCAGAACAGAAGTATACTAATAATGCTATTTCAAATAGAAAAATGAGTTGGTAATAACAAAAAATAGCAAACCAAAGAAATATATCTTATACAATTGTACTTATATATAAGGATACTTATCAATATTGGTGAATACAGCCTCCCTCAGATCGCTCCCAGCTGGCAATCTACTTGACCACAAGAATATATATACACACACAACGAGGGAACCGGCTGATTATCTAAATAAAAATATACACTGCGCAATTTGAAATGCACTCACAGGATCTTGAATAATTCAAGCATTTATGGTGCCTCCCCTGATGATATGGGAGATTCCCCTGGATACTTCCACTCAAGTACAGGACTCCGGGTAAAGGTTGAAAAAATGCGGCTTTAAAATATATATATATATATATATATATATATATATATACACACATACATACATACAATGGTCCTATGCGTTTTGTCCCGTCTACAGAAATATTGGATTTCCTCAGGGACCACAATATTTAAAAACAATCAAACAATACAGTGCAATCGAAAAAGCAGCCTAACATCCCCCCACCCGCAAGTCATTTAAATAGGGCTAATCCCTAAGTGTAGTTCAATCATATGGGCTTATCCTTCCTTCCTCATTGGTCCTGTGTAAATGGATATCATCTGTTGATAGTCTCCTCAATATTCACAGCTGATCTCCACCACTTCAATAATCCTCCGATATTTTTCAGCACATCCGTGCATTCCAAAAAAATGGAAGTGCTATGCGTTCCATCTCTGCACGTGAAACCGGAAGTCGCGTGTGTTCCATCTTCGTTTCTCATGCATTCCATTGACACTCTACATTACCTAGCCACAAAAACACATATAAAAAAATACCACCACGTGGCCACCTCTAAAATGCCTGTAATACATTTCATATATGCTATATACATTTATGAATAATCAATCTTGTTACAAACATATATTTACATTTACACCATTTATATAATACTATCTAACTTATTGTATTATATCTATATCCTATGTGCATTATTTGATGATGTTAGATCATGTATTAACAGGTCCACTATCTCCTTTTTAGTGAATTATTTTTGAAATGTCTAATGTTTTAAAAAAATTCTTATTTAATTATTTGTGCTTAATATATATGTTTAATAAACATACTTATTTATAATCACCCTATGTTATTATGTGTTTGAATAAAGATTTTTTTACCTAAACCCGTCATTGTAAAAATAATACAAAAGTACAAAGAATAAAATTATGAATTATTAAAAAATATAATAATTATACAATAATTGTATCAGTAGTGATATATATTCATAGAAAACACACTAGATCCACATCTGCATTCAGTCCTTTGGGCTCCAATGTCTGCAGTCTGTGGATCCAGTAAGTTTCTCGTTGTGATAGATAAAAAAACAAAAACAAAAAAAAAATGTGACGAGACCAATCTCGCCACATTGCATTGGAGAAGCCTGGTTGCTCGCCTGCTGCCTTTGGACTATGGCCCCCTGTTAAAAGACATCTTTTTTACCTGCAGAAAAGCTTCAGTCGTGCTTTTCTGCCTGAGTTTCAGTAGATTTGTTTGAATGTGTTATACCCCAGATGGGAATCCCATGGAGCCCATTCGTATGAAACTGACTGTAAAGACTTTGGCTCCATGGTGATTAAACTGTATTTGTGTGGTCCGAGCGCCATTCACTTAATAATGTGCGCTCAGACCTGAGCTATCTGGGGATATGTGAAATGTCTGTGTTTTATGTATAAATGTGACTTTATGTATTTTAAAGTGTTTTGTGTCTTTTTGCAACCATGTGCTTAATGGAGTCTTGTGTCTGTCCTGGGAGATAATTGAATTACTTATCTCCAGGATAGAAGACTCTGAAACTGGTTTGGGCCAGAAAGCCATGCTTCATTTAGTCACAAAGGACTTTTTACTAACTTTTGAACCCCTTGTCTGATTTGTGCCATTTTTGAATATGTTGTTCCCCTGAATGGATTGATTGAGAATATGTAATTTTATGTGAATGTGATGTATGGTTTTGGAGTTATGAAAGTTGGGTAGAAAGTATGTTTTAACTGTTTGTATAATTGAGTTTCCTCTCAGGATAAGGGGAGGGAATATGTGGGATGTAACTGTGATATGATTGGTTGTTTTATCCCTCCCTGTGGGTGGTCCTGTATTTGAAACACTGTAATAAAAACCAGGCTGGGTGTGCCAGCACCTCAGACCACTGCTTGACCCTCAACACGGAGCCTTGTCTCGTTCTTGGGGGGATTCACTGTATGCTGTTAGAGACTGATTGCCAGGAGTGTAAGCCGCTTGTCTGCTTTTCCTGTTCGTCTGCTAGCAGCTATTTGGGAGGTTCCAGTTCGGGAGTTGGAGTGCTATTTTGTATCCAGTTCGGAGTTTGGTGTTCTGCAGTAGCTGTGCCTGCATCTCTGGAAAGGGGGCCGATCGCCTAAACGGTTTTTACCCCTTGTGTGCAAAACGGTCCGTTACAATTGGTGGCAAGCGGCGGGATCGTTCCTACAGCCAGAAGGACAGCTACAGGAGACACCATTCTGTGGATTTTACAATTTGAGGGCAACGCATGTCTCAGTACAGCGACCCTGACAGCAACAGAATGGAACCAGCAGTGGAGTACAGATACTCTGTACAGGAATTTGACCGTATGATGTGGTTGCGGCTGAACTTCTACGGACCTAATCCAGCTGAGAAATCCGTGAAGTTCGTGAGGAGTCTAGTATTCAAGACTCTGCTGTACCGGCAGAGGGTGACGGTCAGCTGCCACGGTGGGTGGACCTCCACCGGCAGCTACAGTTGCGGGACAGAGAGAGCCCAGTCTCCTCTCCCCAGCGGCAGTGTGATATGCCGGGAATTGGGAGCCCAGTCTCCATTCCCCAGCGGCAGTGTGATATGCAGGGAATTGGGAGCCCAGTCTCCATTCCCCAGCGGCAGTGTGATATGCAGGGGAATTGGGGCCAGTCTCCATTCCCCAGCGGCAGTGTGATATGCCGGGAATTGGGAGCCCAGTCTCCATTCCCCAGCGGCATGTAAAGTGCAGTGTAGAAGCAGCAGAGTGATATGCAGTGTGAGTGCAGGGAGAGCAGCGTCCTCCCTCCCCAGCGGCAGGCTGAGTTACAGGGGGCAGAGGTAGTTGTTCCTGCCCCCCAGCAGCAGAGTGATATGCCGGGAAGGCAGTGTGAAGTGCAGGGAGAGGAGAGCAGTGTCCTCCCTCCCCAGCGGCAGCGTGATTTTTTGGGAATTGGGAGCCCAGTCTCCATTCCCCAGCGGCAGTGTGATGTGCCGGGAATTGGGAGCCCAGTCTCCATTCCCCAGAGGGAGATACAGCAGGGAATTGGGAGCCCAGTCTCCATTCCCCAGCGGCAGAGTGTCCTACCAGGAATAGAGAGCCCAGTCTCCTTTCCCCAGCAGCAGGACACTGTATTGGGAGTGGAGACAGTCGGTCTCCCTCCACAGAGGATGAAAGTATGTATGGGAGAGGAGCTTGCTACCACCTCTCCCCAGCAGCGGATCATTAATGGGCAGGGAATAGAGAGCTCAGTCTCCTTTCCCCAGCGGCAGAGTGTTCTATCGGGAGAGGAGCCTGTTACCCCCTCTCCCCAGCGACAGCTTAGAGTATCCAAAGGGGAGACAGTCGGTCTCCCCCTCCGGCAGCAGAGCTGTGCAACAAAAGGGGAGACAGTCGGTCTCCAGCAGCAGAGCGGTGTAGTTAAAGGGGAGACAGTCGGTCTCCCCCTCCAACAACCAGGCTTCAACCAGGCTACCCTCCCAGTAGCGCTGGCAACAGGGCAGAGTGCCGCTGGTCTCTGCCCACGCAGCAACCCACCCAGTCAGTGTACCCGTACCCAGCACAGCTGTGGTGAGGCACCTGGACATGGACAAGCTTCTCCTTTACCCAGGTGTAGTAACCATTTATTGTGGGTGGGCTGTGCTGTTGATTATGTTTTGTGGGTGGGCTGCTGGACTAACAAGGGCACTGACCGGCAGGAGGTCAGA